AGACAAATCAGAAGGTCTTGCAGGAAGTTAGACCTGCTGGGCTGGGTACAACTCATGAATTCCACCTTCACCCCCCCCCCTCCTACCTGTCTACCAGCTCCTCTTGGCTGTGGTTGCATCATCATTCCCACAGACCATCTGTATAATGGTTTCTTCCCCCAATCCTCCCTGTTAGCATCTCACCGCTCTGTCCCCATGTCCGCTGGTCATCTCTCCTGTTTCCTTGTACCAAACTAAAATAGGAAGCAATAGGTAAGAAGATGCTCACTGAAAGTGAAACAGAAGAAACCATTGTCATCTTTCCCTAAAAATCACAGGAGGTCTTTGAAGAATGAGAAGATGGCAACAACGCGGTGCTCAGAAAAACCGTGAGAAACTACGGCTAAGGATTCTGGTCTACCAGAAAGTTGGATCTGTCTACTCTTTTATGGCAATCTCTCTGTGTGTGTCTCTCTTACGCTTCTTTGAGCTCCACCTGACCCCCATGGCAGTCTCTGATTGAGAATGGCTGCCCTCAGACCACGGAGATGGAAAAGCAGCTCCAGGTGGAGAAAAGAACGGATGGTACCGTCTTCCCCCAGCTGAAGGAAATCCTGAATTTGTCTGATGGCCCAATCAGGCCCCGGGAAACTTAAAGCGCAGCGAACATTCTGAAGCCCTCATGAGCCATCCTGCAAATGTCTCTCTGCACCAGGGCTGGCTTCCTGGGTGTGGAGCCTGCGGGGTTGTTTACAGACCTGCCCTTAGAAGAGCCCACACTTGGTTGAATGCTTTGCCATCACTGTCTTGAAATTCTTCAGAAGTTTTGAGCACGGGGCCCGCATTTTCTCTTGGCACTGGGCCCTACAAATTGCCTATCTGTTCCTCTTCAGCCTAGTTCTGAGGTATCCTATTGTGCCTGAAATGGTGGGTTGAGAAACATTTATTTATTTGGCAGGGGGTGAGGGGTGGGTGGCGGAATGATGTGAGCTTTCCCTTGTACTTGCATTGTTTCTCTTAGCCGAAACGCCTGCCTGTGAGGGTAATGCTACGTGCCTGACTGTTCTATTCCCAGGGCCGGCAGGCTTGGTCAGTTGTGAACCCCATCACCTCCTACCTGTCTACCAGCTCCTCTTGGCTGTGGTTGCATCATCATTCCCACAGACCATCTGTATAATGGTTTCTTCCCCCAATCCTCCCTGTTAGCATCTCACCGCTCTGTCCCCATGTCCGCTGGTCCTCTCTCCTGTTTCCTTGTACCAAACTAAAATAGGAAGCAATAGGTAAGAAGATGCTCGCTGAAAGTGAAACAGAAGAAACCATTGTCATCTTCCCCTAAAAATCACAGGAGGTCTTTGAAGAATGAGAAGATGGCAACAACGCAGTGCTCAGAAAAACCATGAGAAACTACGGCTAAGGATCCCGGTCTATCAGAAAGTTGGATCTGTCTACTCTCTCATGGCAATCTCTCTGTGTGTGTCTCTCTTACGCTTCTTTGAGCTCCACCTGACCCCCATGGCAGTCTCCGATTGAGAATGGCTGCCCTCAGACCACGGAGATGGAAAAGCAGCTCCAGGTGGAGAAAAGAACGGATGGTACTGTCTTCCCCCAGCTGAAGGAAATCCTGAATTTGTCTGATGGCCCAATCAGGCCCCGAGAAGCTTAAAGCGCAGCGAACATTCTGAAGCCCTCCTGAGCCATCGTGCAAATGTCTCTCTGCACCGGGGCTGGCTTCCTGGGTGTGGAGCCTGCGGGGTTGTTTACAGACCTGCCCTTAGAAGAGCCCACACTTAGTTCAATGCTTTGCCATCACTGTCTTGAAATTCTTCAGTTTTGAGCACGGGGCCCGCATTTTCTCTTGGCACTGGGCCCTACAAATTGCCTATCTGTTCCTCTTCAGCCTGGTTCTGAGGTATCCTATTGTGCCTGAAATGGTGGGTTGAGAAACATTTACTTATTTGACAGGGGGTGAGGGGTGGGTGGCAGAATGATGTGAGCTTTCCCTTGTACCTGCATTGTTTCTCTTAGCCGAAACGCCTGCCTGTGAGGGTAATGCTACGTGCCTGACTGTTCTATTCCCAGGGCCGGCAGGCTTGGTCAGTTGTGGAAAGAGAAAGTTTCCATGGAGAACTGTGTGATGTGCCTGGAAGGAATCATCGTAGCACGAAGAAAGATACTGAGAAATTCTGCACCAGGGAGATAGTTCAGTAAAAAGAGAGGTTCACAAACAACTGCCAGGGGTCATCCTGTTGTGTCTAGAAGAAAGAGACAAGAAAAACTGTTTCTTCCAGATTCTTCCTTTTCAACTGAAGCCACGAGGCCCCTGGCACATACTCAAGCTGATGTTTTTTATGTCTCCTGCTGTTTACTCTGAATCCTTCTCGAGCTGTTGCAGAGAGGCACTACATCAACACAATTTATTTCATTACGATGCCATGTCATATCATATATCTCCTATTTACAGTAGGTTGACAAGGCATTGCGTTTGTGTACGAGCATATATGGATACATATTACCACAATCGCTGGGGAATAGTATTTATTGAGTGCCCACTACCTTATTAGATGCTACAGACAGAATTGTGAGGGCACATATAACAATTTAATAACAGGGGGGAGAAAAGATACTCTATTTAATTCAGCTTGCAGAAAAACCAAACCAAACCAAAAAAAGACTACTTGATATTTCCTCTCTGTGCCTGCTGGATGGTGGCAAGAAAGACCTCTAAAGCACATAGAGCTCTTATCTTTGTTCATCCCCCAAAGAATAATAGATCAGTCAGAGCTCTGATGCTGTTTTAATAATGTACAATTTACAATTCATTGGTTACCAAGCACTCACGGTATAATTAATTTTACAGACCTGTTCAGCAAATCCACATGGTTTTGTACAATATGGGAAGGGGGGAGGGGGAGAAGCATTACCAGGAGGAGGTGGAGGCTGAGGGGAGAGTGAAGTAAAAAAGCCATCTTTCCTCCTCTTTCAAAGTAACCGAGTCCTGCACCAGCTGCACAGATTGGCAGGCAACTGTAGGCTATAGGAGAGATTGAGTTCGATGCACAAGAATCTCCCCACCAAAAAGTTTTGGACCAGCAAAATCGACAATGCTCGTGGGTACTATATTCAGTCTCCTGGGAAGTGCTCAGTAAGGAAGCATGAAGACTAACCACAGAGCAACATCAAGCCATCACTCTTAGAAGGAAGCTGCCTACTTCCTAACTACACTCTTGCATGAATAAAATCTAAAGCTGCTTGTGATCACCCTCCCCCTTTCAAAAATGTGTAGCAGAAACAAGAGACCCACTGCGGGGGGAGAGGTTCAGGGAGGAGGGACGAAGATTCCCTGACTGTTTTCACGACCCTCCAGAGGGCCATCATCTACTTGAAGGGGTCTCTGGAAATTCACAGAGAATTCTCAAAGCCAAAGAAAATTCACATGAAACCTGTCTAAGTGTAATTCTGATCAACGACCTGCTTTGTTTTTAAATCTTTGCTCTGAACTTTTTGGATTTCCCCAAAATATACATAATGTTTTAGCTTAAAATCAGTCTGTCCAAAAAGGAAAATCTGCTCAATTGTTTATCACTGTCCTTAGAAACAAGAACATTAAAAAAAGTGCAGAGGCGCTCAACACACTTCTGTTTATTTCTAAAGTCTGTTTCTCTCTTTATTGTGGATTCTAAGGCAGCCAGAATGGGACTTGAACACATGCAGGGCAGAAATTCTGCACCAACACCAAGTGATAATCACTTAGGTGATCATGTCCTGCGCAGTAAGGAGGCCAAGAACAGCACAGATGGAGACTCAGACACCAGCTTTGTCCCTTGCTAGGTGCAAGCGTGCTAAGTCACTTAAGTTGTAACCCCATGGACTGTAGCCTGCCAGGCTCTTCTGTCCATGGACTTCTCCAGGCAAGAATTCTGGAGTGGGTTGCCGTGCCCTTCTTTAGAGTATCTCTCTGACTCAGGAATCGAACCCGCGTCTCCTGTGGCTCTTGCATCGCAGTCAGATTCTGTGCTGCTAAGCCACCAAGTAACTCCTAAGGAATTTTGTTGGAAAGATCATTTAACCTCTTGAGGGCTTAGTTTTCCCATCAGTAAAAATAAAGTTGAAAACACTGACTTCATGGACCTGTTGAAGGTCTAAGGGAGAGGATTTGTATACATCCGTCAGCATAATGCCTTATTTTTGGTGGCTGTCAACAGTAAACGGTCATTGTGATTCTGTTGATGTTATTCAGTCATGGTCATTTTGCTATGCTTACATTTTTTGCTCTTTTTTGCAGCCCGGATAATAACCAGAGGAGACATCGACCAACTTTGCCTCCATCTGAGCTGGGATGCTGACACAATGCCCATGCTTTCTAGTCTTCCATTGGGTAAAATGGGGGTTGAAAGTCTATGATCATTTCAAATAACCACGCCAAAAGTAATCCTGCTCAGAGTAGACTGAACTTCCCTTCACTGGGATTCCAAATGGATTGCTTAACAAAGGTGGGATATCGTCTCTATTAGCATATTAAACTGCTTTCCAGACCTGAGACACCACACAAAGCAAGTTCAGCAAGAGAAGGAGGAAGTAGGCTTAAAGCAAGGGTTGGTCAAAGACCTTATGCTGCCCACCCTCTGTAGTCGGTCTCCAACAAGGCTTCTTCTGCCAGGTACTGCTGGAGCCAATAGGAGACCGAGTTGGTTTAGAAGCAAAGTGTCCTTCCTCAATCAAAGAATGGAGCGGTATGAGCGCAAGATCTAGAGCAGGAGTGAGCTGATGTAATAACATTAGAAATAAAGTGCACAATAAATGCAATATGCTTGAATCAGCCTGAAACGCCACCCCCCACCCCGAGTTCGTGGAAAAGTTGTCTCTCACCAAACTGGCCCCTGATGCCAAAAAGGTCAGGGACCCCTGATCTAGAGCGCCCCGCTGGTCCCGGGCCGAGCTGCGCAGCCGCAGTCTCTGCCCACGGCCCGCCGGCCTCACCCGGGACGTTGGTTTCCGGGCAGCGAGTCTGCACACGGCCCGCTGCCGGGCACGTCCGGAGCAGCCATTTTACACCAGGAATGCTGGCCTGAGGCGCCCGCGGCCGGGCCTCCGCTCTCGGCTGCCTATCAGCAACTGAAACTAGAAGGACAAAGGGAAAGAGAAAAACAGGTTAGCCTTTATTATCCAGATTCTGTTTTTATTCCCTGAGGCGATTGTTCAAGGGCTTTGCCTGTGACAATCAGGCCAACTGTAAAAAGACCGCTTCTCCTCTGATGGACATCCAGGTTAAGGCGGCGCGAGGCGGCGCAGTGATAAAGAAACCGATGCAGGAGATGCAGGAGGCGAGGGTTTGATCCCTGGTTAGAGAGCTAAAATCCTGCCTACATTGAGTCACAGCNGGGGGAGGAGGGGAAGGGTCCAGTAGAGAACACCTGTCCTGTCCTCTGATAACTCCTTAAGAGTGTTGACAAGGGGCGGTTCCCATGTGCCTGTTGGCTAGTAGCTCTTTTTCCCACTGGAGACTAGCGACTATGTTGTGCCCTCCTGTATTAGTTGGATACTTGTGGGTAGGGCAACAGAGACCCCTTCAGAATTCAAGGAAAAGGGACAGTGCTGTCATGAGGATGCCCACAGGTTGGAACTGGACCATGAACTGCAAAACTCTTTAGAAATCCATGAGGCTCCAGCGATCAGCTCCTCTTCCTTTCAAAGGCAGTATCATCTCCTTCTGTCCACGTCTCTTGTCATTTCTCCACATCTCTCTGCCAGATCTCTTGCTGTCTCTTCTCTTATTGGCTGCCTTTGCTTCGTGAAGGTTTCCAGTCCTCTTAAACACGACCCACCATGGCCTCTCCTGCCCCAACTCTATGCCAAGTAGTCCCCCTTCCCACCATTTGAACACATTTGTTACGGTGTCTTTGTATTTCCAAGAGGGAAAATCTGATTAGGTTTGAATTTTTTTCTGAAGAAAGGTATAGGCGCTGTCCAACCTGAGAGCTCTCTGCTCTGCAGTAGGACACCCACACCTGTCCCAGTTAACTGTGAGACAGTGGGGGCCACATGGTACAGAGCATGGGCCTGAGGGCTGCTGCTTCTGCGTGTGTGCTGGGTGTGTGCTAAGTCACTTCAGTTGGGTCTGATTCTTTGTGACCCCATGGACTGTAGCCCGCCAGGCTCCTCTGTTCATGGAATTCTCCAGGCAAGAATACTGGAGTGGGTAGCTATTCCCTTCTCTACGGGATCTTCCCAACCCAGGAATCGAACCCATGTCTCTTACGTCTCCTTCATTGGCAAGAGGGTGCTTTACCACTCAGGCCACCTGAACAAGGCAACTTATATTATTCAAAGAGATTCCATCCAAGGCTGGTGTTGCCAACTGGCCTGGTGCCCCTCTAGACCCACATCTGGATCTGGCAGTAGGACTGTGCTCTCAGAGGAGGCTCACCGGGACTGGAAGGAGGCTCCGATTCAGCAGAAAGCTGCCCAGTAACTTCATCTGGAATTTTAGCATACATTTCCAATTTTTTCTTGTTTGGCCTGCTCTTCACCTCCTGCTGGCCCTCCACGTGGAATCCTCAGCATACACACCTGTACTCACATTGGTGTGCTCAGTCACGTTCAACTCTTTGCGACCCTGTCACCTGTAGCCCAGTAGGCTCCTCTGTCCATGGGATTTCCCAGGCAAGAACACTGGAGTGGGTTTCCATTTCCTACTCCAGCAGATCTTCCCGACCCTGGGGTCGAACCCGCCTCTCTTGCATCTTCTGCATTGGCAGGTGGGTCCTTCGCCACTGTGCCACCGGGAAAGCCCCTGAATTCAGGGTAAGCCCCTCCTATTGTCTGTTGGATCTGCTCACGCTCTTCTTCTTAGGGGACTTTGGTGTGTGCTCTAAGTTTTCCCGTGCATCTGACCTCAACCAAAACTGTTTTTAGCTTAGCTACTCTCTTGTCAGGGCTTCCGCAGTGGCTTAGATGACAAGGAATCTTCCTGCAATAAGGGAGACCTGGATTTGACCCCTGGGTCAGGAAGATCCCCTTGGAGACGGGAATGACAACCCACTCCAGTATTCTTGGCCTGGAGAATTCCATGGACAGAAGAGCCTGGCAGGCTACAGTCCATGGGGTCACAAACAGTCGGACACAACTGAGCAACTAACACTTTCACTTTTCACTCTCTTGGCAGGGCCAGTGCCTGGGAGGAATTTCCATTTTCTGAACCACACAGTCTATGACAGATGGACAAATACATTCTGCTGTAAGGGCACATTGGGTCATGAGTGATACGGAGCCGATGTCTATCAACTGTCTGGAGTCAGTTTGCTCAACAGCATATGCTAGTATGATTTCAGCCAGTTTTGTCACCAGTCACTCCTTGTTGCTGCTTGTCACTCACACACATCAAATCCTTAGGGTCTGCTTTGGTTTGTGGCAAAAATAAAACACAACAAAACATCTCCCACCAACCTAACCTTCACGTTCGTTCAATGAATCCTTCTTAATACTTTCATTTCCATTCCACTCTTAACTTGTGTGTGTGTGTGTGTGTTTTTATCATGTCCAGCCTCTTCCTAGCTTTGATCATCTAGATGTCCTGATAGTCATTTATTCTGTGGCAACTCCTTCATCTATCCATCCTTTTTGCATATTCTCTGACTCAGTGACTACCTCACAGGGAGATTTAAAAACTATGGAGGCCAGACCCCCACCCCCAAGACCAGGTAAGTCAGAACCTCTGGCGTTAGGAGTCCATAAGCACCTTTTTTTCCTTGTAATTATACTAGTGGTTCTCCTGTGCAATGTTAGTTTAGAATACCTTCCTTAGTTCAATAGTTTATAAACTTGGCTGTACCTTGGAATCACTAGGGAACCTTAAACAATACTGATGCCTGGGTTTCATCCTTGGAGATTTTGATTTAATTATTTAGGGTTTTAGCCTGAGTTTTTAAAAACTCCCCAGGTGACTACAATAGGCAACCAAAATTGAAAATCAGTACCTTAATGGATGCTTAAAATTTCAACATTAGGCTATTCACTTATCACTTAAGTTTCTGATTGACCCCAAAAAAAGACTTGTCATTGGGTGAAAGATGATGCTTTTCTTAAATGCTTATATCTTGGTATGAATGTGGCCCAGATTGAATACAAGGTAGTTTAGTCACTAAGTTGTGTCTGACTCTTGTGACCCCATGGACTGTGGCCCACCAGGCTCTTCTGTACATGGGATTTTCCAGGCAAGAATACTGGAGTGAGTTGCCATTTCCTTCTCCAGGGAATCTTCCAGACCCAGAGATTGAACCCAGGTCTCCTGCACTGCAGGCAGATTCTTTACTGACTGAGCTGTGACAGCTCTTGAATACAAGACCCCTGGCTAAATTTGAGTTTCAGATAAACAGATAATTTTTAGTATAAGTATATTCCATGTAATATATGGGTATACTCATGCTAAAAAATTATTCATGGCTTATATGAAATTCAAATTTACCAGGGCATCCTGTATTTTTATTTGCTAAATGTGGTCAGTCCTATCCAGAAAGCTTTCAAAGGGCAGGTTGTAAGAGTGGGGCATGGAAAAAGCACAGTGAGAAACGTGGAGACCCTGAGGGGAGGGCACAAGGGATACTGCAGAAAGACCACAAAGCAAAGAAGGGCCATGCAAAGCCCAAAGTCACTTGCCTTGTCAAACTCAAGTACTATTCTGCCACATCTTTGTGCAAATCAGCATAATCTTCCTTGCCTCACCAGTTTAGGTGGCAGAGTGTACATTATCCCGCAAGACTTGACTGCGACCGTGCACAGCAACAGATGTCTTGCATCTAGAATCCCTCTCCTGCTCATGCAAGACCAAGATACTGGGCTGGTTAAAAGGTTCTTTTGGGTTTTTCATAGCATTCTATGGAAAAACCCAAACAAACTTAATGGCCAATGCAATAGACATGTAATCCATTGCTAATATATTCACTGATGTTCTAAATTTTTTAATTTAGAATTCACTATATTTAGAATTACACATTTATGAAAATTCTAAATATAGAATTTAATTAAGAATGTAATTAAATCTCAGTATAAAATTTAATTATACTCAAAGCTTTCCAAATGTCTGGCTTTGACTTATGATAATTGTAACCTGCTTTCAGAAAGTTAAAAAGAAAAAATGCCTTCAGAATTAGAGAAAGAAGGTAGATATGTAAATAAATATGATAAAGGCTTCCTAAACTAAATTCCCCGTAAACCTATTATAAGGTCATGTATTCTATGTACTCTAATCCCAGCCTCCACATAAATTCACTCGTTATATTTTTTCAAGGACAGTTTTTATTTTGCTTTTCTTTGAACTCTTCCCTTTACATTTGTAGGTATCTAGGGGGTTTTCCTCTCACTGGCTTCCAAGTTATCCAAACAGAGTATCATTACATATGGTAACATGAAATGTTGGTGCACCTAGGAGAACTGGATCTACATCCAGAAATCCTTCCTTAGATTCCTGAGATTCAACATATTTTACCCTACTTTGTTAGCGGGATTTAGACAGACAAGCTTATTTATCTATAAACATTTTTTCATTTCCTCGCTTACATCTGACCGAGCATGAAGTCAATATCCCAGAAGAAAATGGAAGACATTCCTTTGTCTCAAGCAAATTCCACAGGATACATGGGTATATAATGAGTATATCAGCAGTTGACAACCTTTTTGGCACCAGGGACCAGATTCGTGGAAGACAGTTTTTCCACAAACAGCGGGGTGAGGGAGATGGTTTTGGGATGATTCAAGTGCATTACACTTACTGTGCACTTTATTTCTATTATTATTGCATCAGATCATCAGACATTAGATCCCAGAGGTTGGGGAGCCCTTAGTACATCCTTCCACTCCCTCCAATCCCCTCCTCTTCCTACCCCTGATGACCCCTTCCCACCGTTTATGTTCCTCGCTTCCTCTTACCATCATCTCATTGTCTTATCTGACAGCTTCATGGAATACTTTCCAGGTGTCTTTGAGGTCAGTTAACCCTCGTTGATCACCCGCCTGAGACGCAAATGGCCTTGTTACCTTTTCATAACCTTCTCTTAAAAGAGAAATAGTTATTGCCTTTTCAGAGATTATCCAAATAAGGATGTCAGGAAAACGCCCTTTGCTTTCCTGCAAAACTAAAAAGTTTTATGGTAGGG